CATTGCTTTAATGCACAGTGAAGCCTTGTGTCAGTATATTACTCAGCTGCTAATTCCTAACATAGAAATAATGTGCATGCCCACTACGTTCCATTGTGTAGGTTTTGTGTGGAGAATGAAGGATGAGTTGGCTCCACATAGCCACCCGACCCTGACAGCTGCAGCAAAGAGAAAAGAAGGATGAACCGAAAGAAACACAATGAAATTATATGAAAAAGATCCTTCCCCAGGGTTCCGGATGGCTAACAGAGTGCTCATGGAAGAAAATTCGCAACGCTCATACTACTGGCTTACCTAATGCTTGTTGACTGAATGAATGAAAGTAGAGCTAAAAGAAATGCTTGCAGAACAAAAATCCAAGTAGTATAGAAGGATATAAGAAAATAATTTTTGGAAACATGAAAACATGTTAGCCAGAGAACAAACATGGTCTTCCAGAAGACCAAACAAATATGTCTTGGAAGAAAAACCACCAGAAAGCTCCTTAGAAGCCAGGATGGCGAGCCTTCATCTCATACACTTTTGGACACATTCCCAGAAGAGACTGGTCCCTGGAAAGGAGATCATACTTTGGAAAGTAGAAGATCCTATAAAAGAGGAACACTTTCATCAAGATGGATGCACACAGTGACTGCAACAGTGGGCTGGAGCCAAGCAACAATTGGGAAGATGGCACGACACTTCCATTCTGTTGGCCACAGGGCTGCTATGAGTTGGGGCTGACTGGACAGTCAACTACCAAACTGTAAGAGGAATGTTTTTTGAAGATGATGTGCCCTGACGCTCACAAGGTCTACCATGACTTTTATTTGATAAAAGAAATAGAAAAGATCCATTTTGCCCCACATTCAATCTTTAGAAGAGCTGCTAAATGTGATGAAATAGAATAGATTTAAAGCATTCCTTCTTTTTATTTTCCTTATTGGTAAAATTAATGACCAAGGAAAAAACACATAAAGACATTTCAGAAGACAAAGGCTCATATGAATGAATGAACAATGGGTCTGAGAAAACTATAAAGTCCATTGTTACACCCGAAATACGATGATATATTTTTCACTTCCTAACTTAAAATAAGATTTCAGTAACATTAGGCTCCAAAACTTGCTAGATGTAACTACTCTGCTTCCCCACAAACTATTGCCCTAAAATTCGATTTCCTGAATTGAAAATGGGATTCATTATTCTTACTTAAAATTTTAAAAAGAAAAACGAAGAGAGGAAGCACCTGGCCCAAACCTGGCTTCCAGAAATTAACCAATGATGGTTTAATGATCTTTATCTCCCTCTTATTTCTCCTTAAAGAAGAAATAGCACAGGTACAATCCCTAAATAAGTCCATCTGGCTCAATGAGAGAGTGAGAGGGATGGAGTGGGAACGCGTGGTTAAAATCCATAGTTCACCCCATATTACGTTAAAATGAATGATGTCAAGATAAGCCTTGAAGCACCGGCTCTTGAAGGAAGATGGCGGGGCATGGAAAGCATCATTCTTCTACAGATATGATAATCTGTGTTTATCTTTTACAAAAAGTACCATCAAAGGGGAAACATTCTAATGGTGACGTTTTCTTTCATTTTACTGCAAATTGTTGTCTAATCACTACCAACTAGCGCAGGAGGAATGGACAAATATTTAAACTCCATCCTTTGAACAGAAGTCCTCTCTCCGGCCAATGGACTTAGCCAGGATCACTGCTCTGTCGCCAACAGGCTGCTGAGTGCTCCTCTACTGCCCATTACAAAAAAGCTTTCCAATGCCATGTGGCCTGTTTCCGAACCACAAGGATGTCTTCCTCAATGGAGAAAACTGTATCCATGTCGATGAGTGAAGTCCATGCTGATGAGCGTGCTCAGTCACAAGATTAATAAAAAATAATTACTATTAGCTAAGACGGTGACTGCAGCTACCTATCAACATTACTGATCACCATCATGGTCATCACTGCTAGTGACTGATTGCATACCACCTGTCAGATGCTTAGTCCTCACAAATCCATCTGAATTAAATGCATCTTCATCTCCCTCCCTCTCCCAGGGGAAAAACAATTAGTAGTCATAACTATATCAAATGTCAGTATCATAAACCAGGTACTAATAAATAATTATGAGGTGTAGCGGGAAGAGAGTAATAAACAGTACCTCCAAAACAACAAAATGTTTACAAACATTTTTAAAGTAATGATAATACAAGATTGTTTTGTTTTGTTTTTAATTTTTTACTACTTACTTAATTCAAAAAATCATAATTATTCTGAAACATAGTGGCTCCAATGGCTGGCTTAACGAGAAGCGTCTGGAGGTCACACGGTGCAATCAACACACAAGAAGAAAGCTTGCTGCGCTCAGAGTTTAGGTCATGTCCATTCTTAGGAGGCCCTTACAGAACAGTGTCCTAAGCACAATCTAAACGAGTTCCCACCAACTGAAATTTAACCTTAACCCTGCTGGCTACTCTGGGAAGCACTGTAAAACCCAACCATGTGGGTAAACGGAAAATCAAATGTGGCAGACAAAAACATTTAAGTTAGTGGTTGAGAGTATTAATTTTCATCTTCTAGCATCTATTATAAATAACCACTGAAGAAATTAAGACTTTGCTTTTGAAAGCGTTTTAACATGTCTCTTCCTGATGGGTTTTTCCAGCTAACTGCCTGGCATTCGTTAATTATCCCAAAATTTCCCAAATGGCACCACATGCACAGAACGATGAAAATTATCAGTCACAAATAAATATCGGGACATGAACCATGCAGGTAGAATGAACAGATCCCCTGGAAGTTTCCATAGTTGGTGTATCTCCATTCACGCTATGTTCCAAAGCTACGTTAAAAATCAAATTCCAAAGCAGTTTTCTTAAAAGAAGTGTTTCGTACGAAGTTGAGGGGACACGTTGGCATTGCATAAACGATGCGGCAGTTCATTGACTGGAAACACACGTCTTGTCTTAAAATGCTCACCGGTAAAGCCGGCACGGCACGCACTTGGGATTAGAAAGCGGCTCCCCAAATGTACACACGTTCTCCTCTTATTCATTCCACCAGGTTGTATAACACTCCCATTTACTTAGGAGAAAACAAAAGAACAAGCTACACCATTTTAGAGCAATGAATAAAATTAAGACTTTCAGAAACGTGAATCTTTCACCTCCCTGCTGGGATGAGGTGCCCCTTCGTGGGTTCTCACTCACCGTGAACCGGCATCCAACCAGTCCGGAACCATGCTCACAGTTGTGATGTGTGTGTGAGCCCATTGTTGCAGCAACGTGTCAGTCCGCCCCCGTGAGCGTCTCTCTCTTGCACTGTCTGCTTCACCAGCACGGTGCCCCATTCCCAGCACTGGTATCTCCTAACTGACTGCCCAAACACGTCCCCGGAGAGGGCATCTCACCCATCCTGGCTTCCAAGTTTGTATTTCAACCTCAACTAGGGACATTAAAGTGTTCCACACCTTCTGTAACTATGTAAAGGGTTAATTAAAAGCATGTGTTTGGCTGGATTTGGGGGGAAAATTATCAAGCCTTAAAATCAGTATCATTTAGATTTCTAATGCCAAGAAATCTGTTTGACAGAGCAGGCTTTAGCTACACTGACATTTTAACAGTAGCCAAAGTCCTTTTCCCACTAAGTTCTGTCTTGGCAGAACCAGTAATTTGCTAAAAGCCTAAACTCCTCCTGGTTAAGAGTTCTCTATCTAACTCAGGAGACAGAAACCAAGTGCAATGGGGGAGTTGAAGTGAGCAAGTCCTTATGATTTCTATTCTTACCGCAGAAACCAAGCATACTGTAAAATGAGGATGGTTTAACATAAGGAGACTTGCTAATTTATCCAAAATGTTCACGATACCTTACATGGTATAATACTGTACAATTCCACATATAAATCTCAGACCAAAATCTGATCCTATCGTATTACCTCAAGATTGCAACAAGCAAGCCATCATTAAAATAGTAAATAAAAGGATCTGGTTTCAAACTGTAAATGACAAAATTTTCCAGTGTTGAGCTAAAATCAGACTATTTCCAGAAATGTGGTAAAGACTTACAAACATTTTCATTTAAATAATCCTCCAGTTATCTACCATGGGTTTTGAGGTCCTCAAACCACTGCTGTCAAATGTTCACATACAGCTTAATATTCGGCTCGAGCCGGCGTCCCAATAATTTTTAAATGAAACCAAGTGGAGGCACTTGGATCCACTTACCTAGAGAATGAACGTTAAAGAACTGGTAAACATATATTCCAACCAAATCAAGTCGCTTAATTTTTCAAGTAGATCTGATCACTGTCGTCTTTTAAAAAGTCCAAAGACTCCACCTAAGGGAGGAAAACACAAAAACAAAGAACGAGGTTTAAATCAGAGCAGCATGACATGCTTCCCACATCACTGACACAGAAAGAACATCAAAACCATTGTGGATCTTTTCCTGGATCGCTATGCTATTTAAAACGATAAAATAACAAATGCATCGGGTTGCTAGATTAAGATTTCCAGTTGAGGGCAAACTGAATGGTCAAAGCACAGAGAAAAGAGTAACACCATAAACGGGGGGCGGGGGGGGGGGGGAGGAAGAGATTTGCGGGACAGACAGAAGTGACGGCCATATAATGTCACGTATTTAAAATGAAGGACTTTCTTGTGCAACTGGATGTTTTGGCATTCCACTTGGTGATTTTTATTAATTTACTGCTATAATGAAAACTTGTTGGGCGACAGTTCTTTAAAGCTGTTAGATCCTAGCTGCCATCCATCAAAAGGTCTTGGAGATATTCACTAGGATGAATTTCCAAATTACCCTGAGCACGTTATACTTTGCACACACATTAGAATTTGTACACAATTTCTGTTTATTCTATTCATTTTTCCAGTGAGAAACACATTTTCCGAAGCCAAAACAGTAAATGATCTCAGCGCCAAGAGAAGGATTAAGA